AAGAAGGGCACAGACTAACAGTGGTATGAGCTGACAGAGCAGAAGCATTTTTCTTTTGATATTGCTACAGTGCCGTGGTGGCTTTTTCACATTAATGTGGCTGGTTGTCAGGTGGAGACCAAGCCCTAGAGAGTTTCTGTGTTCTTGAGCAGACACCCACTGAAAGCTTTTTCTCTTGCTCAGTGTCCCATCACCTACAGCAAATGCATAGGGGCGAGTACAAGGCATGCATGTGATGATATCGCCCAGAATATTCTGGCAGCCTCTTAGCAGTTTCATCTCCAAGGACTTCTAGAGCCAGAACCAGTATTCTGGGATGGACTATCCTGTCATGAATGTGCTCAGTTTCTTTTTGAACTCAAGTAAACTACCAGCATGCACAAATATGCCAGGGTAAAAAAAGTTCCCAGGCTTGATTACATGCAGTGTCCAAACCTCTTGTTTTGTTTTGCACCTGATACTAGTTTGACTTGATGCCCCTAGTTCTTCCGCTGGATGATACACAAATAGCTTCCTTTTTGTTGGCTTTTTTCCCCAGAGCTCTGTTGCATTTCCTCTCAGTCATCTCTCTTTCCAGGCTGAAGAGCCCCAGTCTACCTAATTGTTCTTTGTCCAGGCTGTGTTTCATACCTTTTTGTCATCCTTTTTGGCCCTCTCTGAGCTTTCTGCAGTTGTTATCCCTTACTCCTGGTCTCTGTGTGTTGATAAAATACTTGCATTTAGAGAATGGAGAGAGCTTTAAACAGGTTTTTGAGGGGGAGGTGGGGGCTTCCAGCCGCAGCTGAAATGACTTGCCTAGTAAAAACAAGTATGTTGCTGAAGTGTTCTCATCTCATTTTCAGGACTGGAAATTCAGACAAGCTTATCACTGCAGAACTAGGAAGGAAAGTGGAGGAGAACTTACCTGTTGCACCAGTAGAGAGCACAAGCGCAAACTCAAGACAAAGTGAAAGCCACAGGAGAGTGCTTTGCTTTGATAATGTCCTACCTGCTCCAGGGGGAAATGCCCAAATTCAGACTACTAAGAGTTTATCCCAAAAAGAAAGAAATGAAAATACCTTATTTGCTGCTGACTCCGCATCATCCTCTGCTAAGGCACAGGTAGCAAAGAGAGAGAAGGATAAAACGTTGCCTAGAATTCTGTGTAAGCCAGAAGTTGGTAGCAACAGAAGCACATCTGCAAAAGAGCCACAGCCTGAACGGAAGGTGGCAGCTGCAGGGCTTCCATTAGATCCCTTCCACAAGACTACAGCAAATAAAGAAAATGAATTACGAAGGGATACTGATGAAAAACAGAAGAACCAGGACACTGCCAAACTCTCAAATGGCCAACAAAGTGTTAGCTTATGGAATGAGAAGACGGTTGCTTCAGTGCAAGAGCTGAACAAAAAGCAAGGATCGCTGTCGAATGGGAATGGCAAATCTTCAGTGTCCGTTTCTTTGTCTTCAAAGGAGCCAAAGCGAGAACCAGCTAAAGTTTCCAACCAAGGCCTTTGCCTGTCAAGTCCGTTCACTAAACAATGTGTGGAAATGTTGCAAGACATCCAGTGGCATAGCCCGAACAGTAAAACAGTTGAAAACGGAGAATTGCCAGTACCCCGTACGCCGTCTGGAGTTGGGGACAGGCATACAGATGATACTACAGATAGCGTACGGACACCGACCTGTCGGCGCTTCAACGAGGATAGCACAACCCCTAGAATAATGGTACCCCCTGCTACTCCAGACTTGCCTGCCTGCAGCCCGGCTAGTGAAACAGGTAGCGAAAATAGCGTCAGTATGGCTGCTCACACACTGATGATACTGTCACGGGCAGCTATTGCAAGGACTAGCACTGCAACCCCCCTGAAGGACAATACTCAACAGTTCAGATCTTTGAGGAGTACAGTAAAGAAAAGGAAACTAGAGGACTTGAACGAGGGTGAGAGAAATTCTCGTTCTACAAATAGAAAAGACCTTCAAAGCTCTCCAACACCATCAAAAAAGAAGAAAATAAAGGCAAGTACAGGCATTTACTTAGTTTAAAATTCTAAATATATATTATATAT